GGGAGCATATCCCCCCCCCCCCCCCCCCCCACACACACACTACTGAGCAGCTAATGCTGTCTATACAGTATGAAGCTACAGCCAGGAGACAGTTAGCATAGTTTAGCACAGAGGCTGGGAATGGGGGGAAACAGGATGCAACCCACTTGCCTACCTCCTGAGCAGTGAGCTTTAGAGGTGTTATGCTAGCAGTTTTCCCCTGATTTCAGTCTTAAATAAAGCTAAGATAGTCATCTGTTAGCAAATAATGCTTCATATTTACTGTACAGATGTCAAACTATTTTGAACAAGGTATTCTACAAGAGGGCTGCTTGAGAGCCTGTTTTATACCAGTTTTTAACATTTTCATTCATCCATTCCATCATTTTCTGCACTGGTATTAATAGAGAGGTCGTGTTGTTACATATTACTGACTTTTTTGACTTCCAAGTGTCACAAGCTCAGGAATATAAGTTTGGTCTCTGAGGTGTTCATATAACAGTATGTGAAGTAGGTTAAGGCATATTGTGACACAGCGGCACCTTTAGGGGAGGCGACCGTGGTGCGGTGGGTAGAGCAGTTGTCTCCCACCCAGAAGATCAAAGGTTCAAATCTTGGTGTCAGCAGTCCACGTGTCGAAGTGTCCTTGTGCAAGACATTGAACCCCCCCGATGGTTAGAACCATTGGTTGAGGTGGTGCCACAGATGGCTGCCATTGGTTCTGTACTGGAAACAAATTCCTTGTGTGTAATATACATGGTCAATAAAGGTGATTATCCTTTAGACCTGACATATAAAGTTCAAAACTAGTACAACAACTAATTTTTGGATCATACCTAAGCAATACTATGTCTGGTGGGTTATACTTCCCACAGTCCCTTGAATTGCTTGCTACTCAGGGAGAGCTCGTTAGGGTTTTGGGCTTGCGTCCTGTTTTGAACTGTTATTTTGTAAGGATTTCCTGTTTTGTGCCATCTCACCTGCCTTAGCTTTACTCCGGTTCTTGATTACCACTCATTGCCATCACCTGTTGCTTGTTGCCTCTCAGTCTCTAGCCTTTATATTCTCCTCACTTAGATGCTGGTTCATTTGCTCACCGCATCCTGCTTTTCCCATTGTTCCTGCCTTTGTATATGTTTTCAGTTTTGCTTCCGCCTATGAACTCTTGCACTTTTTCTCCTGCCTCTTTTATGGATGTTGGATTTGCCTGCCATCTTGGATTTGGTTTGTTACCTTGAGTTTCAAAGTTTAGTTTTGTGTGCTTCAGTTATTATTTAGCTCCCTGACTGAAGTGTTTTGTTGTAGTGTTCGGTAGTCGTTTTGTTATGCTTGTCAGGTTGAGTTCCTGGAGTTGTATTATTTGTCTCTCGATCCTGTATCAATTATAAATATTCTTCCTCAGTCTGTCTGCATTTTGGGTCCTTCCCTAGCTTGAGTCTTGATAGAGCTCAGATTTCAACGTGGCTTAAAATTTCCCTCTTTCTATTTGCCTGCCTTTTAGAATAAATAGGTTGTTGAGGCAGTGCTCTGTTTCCAAGAAAAGCTGATGACTCCAGGAGACATCAATTCTGAGATTCTGCCAAAGGGGAGGTTCCTGTTTTTTTTGGGGCTGCTACGGTGTCCCATGAGGAATAAGACCCACCTGTGAGACTGGGAGGCACTGATAATGGCTCACCAGAGTTTTTTGAGAAGAACTTGTTTGTGTGCCTTCTCTCTATGTCCTGTGGGAACAAGATGGGAATCTGGGTGGGACAGCACAGTAGATGGGTTGCTGTCGATTGGTGCAGGAAGGACAAAAAAAAAAAATCAACAATCGCTGTGAACTCCACTTGTTTCTTCTGAAAGCTATTGTGAAAACCTTTTAATTATTTTTCTAATTTGAGGCCATCTACCATTTAATTATGGAAAGTACTGCCACTGACTCTCTGAACCACTTAATGGAGCAAAGTGCAGCAATAACTGAAGACAGAGCAATAAATGAGGAGAAACAGAAATATGTTCTCTTCAGAGATCTTTTGCTTGTCTTGTTTGCGTTTCTGTATTCTTGTCTTAAGTCACATATGGGAATGTAGATACTAATAGTCAAAATAAGCAGGCTATCTCCACATCTATTTAGCTCCACATATATTACCATTACATTCAAATCATAGAGCTAAACATACAAAAACAGCTGATATTTGTATGAAAATATATGTTGGAAAGACACATGAATATAACAGTTTTTTTAAACTTTTTTTTGGTCATTTTCATCCAAATAGTGAAGCAGTATTAAGTGTTGATTAATCATCTATGGTTGGTTTTTAAAAAAAAAAAAAAAAAAAAAAAATCTGGTATGTTTTTCAGAAAATCAGATGCTGTAACTCAAATGTAATGTAATCCATGAGTGGCACAAACTGGGCTTCGGCGAAAGCAGCAATGTAATGCAAACAGCTTTAGAGTAGGGTTTCTAATGTACGTCATGATCCAGTGTGATAAGTTGACTCCCAAAGGTCAATGCACCTACAGTGAGGAACAGAAGATGGGTCGTGGCTGGGTCTTCCAACATGACCCATCTTTTGCAAGTTCTCCCACTTAGAAATCATGGAGGGGTCTGAAATTCACATTGTAGGTGCATTCCCACTCTGAGAGACAGAAGTTAAAAAAAATTTCAGGAAATCACATTGTATGATTTTTAAAGAATTTATTTGTCTAGCACTGCTGAACATAAGTATTTGAACACCTGAGAAAATCAGTGTTAATATTTGGTACAGAAACCTTTGTTTGCAATAACAGAGGTCAAACGTTTCCTGTAGTTCTTGACCAGGTTTGCACACACTGCAACAGGGATTTTGGCCCACTCCTCCACACAGATCTCCTCTAGATCTGTCAGGTTTTGGGGCTGTCGCTGAGCAACGCGGAGTTT